ATCACTTAACTACACTCATGTGATATAAATTAGCCACATACTTCAACAATAACACATAACATAACTGTAGACCAAAAATGGGAATGAACAACTCGCATGGTCTCAATATTTTCAAGGTAACATGAGCTATAAGCATGCTATTCAAGTGATTCCAAAACTAACAAGTAGCTAACACATATATACACAACTGTTATGTTGATCACTTAAGCCAAAAATAGCTTTACAGCCGAGTTTAAGCGTAAGACACTTAGGTAAAGAAATCTGCCAACGCAACTTTTATCAATTACAGCAGGTCGCTAAAACAGAGATATCTCATGCCACAAAATTCTAAATCATGCAAACTCAAAACTTACAGAAACTACACTTGAATTGCTATAAGTTCGAAGAAGAGCATTTTTACAAATAACCACGTTAAGGGCTTCATTTCAGAGTATACATTTCAATCGTAAACACAGCCACTGTATTAAAAATCTGGGCATAACCCCAACTTTGAAAACTCATATAAAATCAAACAGAACTCCAACTAACATGATTACAACTCTCTGAGAAACCTTATAACATATACTACAAGTTTCATGTTGATAATATTTTCACATAGTCACATTAAGATTGTCAAAAACGGCCCAACATCATGATTCTCAATTCTGCCCGAAATTTCAAAAACTGCTTGCACAATCTTTTGTAAAAATCATAACTCACTCAATTCTTAAGATAAAATCATAACATTTGGTATGCAGACTCATAACACATATATAAACATGTACAAAAAATTTTATAATTTTATCCTAAGTAGAACTCGAGTTATTCGCGTTTGAAGTCGTAGCTGAAATTTGCCATATAAAATGAACTTGCATACTTATCTTCAAAAATCTATAACTCGAGTTATACTAGTCTAAACGACTTGATTCTTGATCTTATGAACTCCTCTTTTACACAAGAAATAGCCATATAAAGCATAGTTTATCAGGTTTTTCATAGCATAGCAAAAATACAAGCAAACAACACATAAGAAACACTCATGCAAGCTAGGACGACTTTAACTTCTTGCATGCCTATAATTACTTAAAAACTGAACATGTATGGCACATATATATTCTACTCCTTATCTCATCTATATTAAAATTCTAGAAAGATTTGAGCACACCAATCTCTTAATCTTCAATAAAAGGCAAAAGAAGTCGGGTATACTCGAATGTTGCCTTTCTCTTCTTGGTCTCGACTTTGAGCTTAATCTCTTCGACTTTTATTGAACTTGAAGCCTCAAAAAACTTCTATGGGGAGTGTATAATGAGTTAAGAGTGATACTATGCTAAGGGGATGAAGGTTTGATGCATAGAACTTGAAACTAAGCACAAGTGTGCACTCGGGATTTGCTTGCTCTAAATTACTCACTCTCGGTTTTGATGCTTTGAAGGAGTTTAAGCTCTAGTATTTACTAAGTGTTGGGGAATCAAGTGAAGTCTTATAGGAGCTGAATGTAGGCCTTATAAGCTGGTCCTTGGGCGTTACAAACAAGGCTCACAATGGAGACAAAGTGGGAGACAAAACTTGCACCAACTCATTTCCAATGCATGATTCTTTGCATGATTGAGTGAAAGTGGGGCACTATGGTCTCATGGAGCACGAAATTGGACTGAAAAGGGCTGGAGAATTCAGGTCATGGCACTAAGAATGATGGGGAACAAGACCTTATACACTCACATTAAACAATTCATGCCCATGATGCACTAGCTTATGAATAAGGAATGTTAAACTTGCTCAAATCTTTCTTAACTCCAAATTAAGCTTAATTATACATCAATTAACACCTAAAACTCAGCCTTCATGAGTATGGGACCAAGACTAATGAGGTAGGATGGCTAGGGTCTCAAAGGGTTCGACTAAGACTCGGTGGAAGGCGCGCGCGGCTAGGGATCTCGCGAGTCTAATGCTTGGCTTGGACTCGATCTTTATGACCGAATATGGAATTAACATGGATAACATAACTGAACTCATATGCCCTAAGATTGCTAAGGTCCTCGATGCTCGGGCGAACGCACGGTTAGAGTTCGGCACGAGAGAATCGGCGATTTGGCACGAATGAAAATTTCGAACTTATAAACTAACATACATGAGCACATAATTCAATATAAATACAAATATAACCACATGATTCATGTAATAATTCACTTAGAACTACTGAATCGAACAACTTTAGTGTTCACTTTAAAGTCGAGCAAGTGAATTGGTTTTATTTATTAACTGTTCGGGGCGTTACACTTCTCTTCTGACGTCATGCATCTTTGAATGGAAAGCTCGGTTGTCATTATGGCATGATCTGTTGCTGTTGATTGGTCTTCTCTGCCGTGTCGTATATCGACAGGTTGTACCTGCAACTGTTTACCTTCCCTGAGGTCAAACATAACCTCAAGAAAAGTTTATCATAAACTGATTTTTCCTACGAGTTCTCAAATCATCTGCATTTGAGAATCGAGGCATAAGACATACTTGGAATAACTGATAAGTCTTGTCTTATTAGACAGACTATCCTTGACTTAACATAGCTGGCCTGAGCATTCATATAACTGAATATTCAGGATTTGACCCTTTTACATGACTAAATCATTCTTTATCTGAACTTTGAAAGCTATTCCGAGGCAATTTAAAATGATCATCTCAGAATTTGAAACATGACATTTACTGACTTTCTTGACTTGATAAGGTGCGACTTCAAGTTTCCAGTTAAAAACTGGACTAATAGTTTGTATTACAGACCTTCATGTTAACCCGGCTGAACAACTATTATACGTCGACCTTAATACATGAACATCGCCTTTAAATCGTGAATATTAGCTCATGACTGTGTACTATATAGGGCTGCTCCAGTATCAACTGGTCCCGCAAGTATTGAATAAATAACTGATCTTGAGCTTTGCCAACTAAACTCAGAGTATCTAACTGGTAAGATACCCGGTTTAGCTGACTCTAAAGGTTGTTACTTTCTGAAATTGTACTGCTCCGGTCTCAGCTTCAAGCCTCCATGGTATACCCGGCTTAATGGCTCTTATTTCAAGCCTCCATGGTAACCCAGACTTTTGGCTCTTATACACTGGAAACCATTACCTTGACAATAACTTGAAAATTATAACAACCTTTAGCATGAAAAAAATCTTATCTTGAACTTGATTTACTGACTTGACTTAGGAAAATTGAGCTTATTTCCTGATCTAACTCAAGGAATTACTCCTCGGAATGTGCCAACTAGTTGGAAAAACTGGCAATTATCAATAGAAAATATCTGAGGAACTGAATTGCTAAGATTTGTATAACATAAATGTTTACAAATCACTGAACGAGGTATTAACTCAATCTGAATAAGTCTAGAATGGAATCTAGAATTCTCAATCCTAGCCCCTTTATAGAGTTCTGAATTCTGACCCGGACATCCTTACTGATAACTTTATTGAATCTGATCAATAAAGTACACAAATTCATAACGAGTCGCTAAACATGACTGAGGAATACTGACATACACTCCCGAGTATATTGACTACTGATCATGAACATGATTCGAGCATCTTAACTATATCATAACTGAGAAATTTCTGAGCATAGAAATAGTAAATTGTTTATTATTTAAAACTTAATCAGCACTTACCTGGTAGTCGGCGAGGCGTGAGCGTGACGTGTTCGGGTTTTTCTAAAACTTTCAGACTTACTGAAGTATTCAGATACACAAAAATGTGCTCTGATACCAACTGTAACACCCCGCTTTTCCTTAAATATCAGAGTGCGCTTTTCGCAATTACATTCAAAATAGAGTGCGCTTTTCGCAATTACATTCAAAATAAAACATTTTACATTGCGAAGTACTGATTCGGAGTGCTACTAAAATACATGACTGACTGAAAAATCTAGACTTTTGGTTTGAAAAACCAACTACTAGTTCGCCGACTGATTCATTTGACTAAGAATGACAAACAGTAAAACATCAGCGGAAACTGTAGTGGTGAATTTGGATAGCAGTACCATGATCGTGAAAACAAGTTTGCTGAAAAATATATCGGCACTGCTTTGCCAAATTCAAACTGTACAAAACCTAATTTAAGCTTTATAAGCATAAAGCTTAGGCAATTTAAACTTTATAAGCATAATCCCAAACAGCTCCATCATCTCACTCCTCCGACCCGACTTCATGACCTGAAAAACATGATAATAGTGGGAGCGTGAGTACTAAAAACACTGTACTCCGCAGAAACTCATACTAAAGTAAACATTAAAAATAATTGCATCATCATGATCAAACGCATGCATATCTACCTCTATCTGTAACTGCTCGTCAACAGTATAAACTGGACGTAAACTGTGTCTGTCGACTGTAATAATACTAGCCGAAACCATGTGCACACCCTAGTGGTCAGATCTAGCCACTAGAGCTCGGAGTGGAATTACGCAAACTGGCCACCACTCTAAGCGGAACTGATATATATACATACATCGACATGATAGCTGTAATTAAACTCAATGTAATACTCAGTCTGAGTCCCCACCTGAACTGCTGGTTTGAAAATGTAAGTGCTGATCATCTGGATCCTGAATAAACTGAAAATAATATAAACATTTACTAAATACTATGCTCAGACTGATAAAATAACTGATTAATGTGTTAAGATGCTCTACTGGACTTTAACATGATATCTGGGCTTAACCGGTACAATCGGAACTGGATAAACTCAGAACTGAACTGACATGAATTTATTAAACTGGACTGGACTTGGAATTTAACTGAAAACGGGACTGAAATCATGAACTGGGACTTAATATAATAAAATATGAAGAAACCGGTTTGAACTGTTTTAAATTAGTCTAGCCGGATCGTCGGTCTGCTCGGACCGGTCGGTCAGCGACTGACTTGGCCAACGGACTCACCAAGGCCGCGTGCGCGGATGCTGCCTGGACTGGCCGTGGGCACTGGCTGCTGGACGCAAATTGTACGTGAACATGAGCTGGTATGCACGCTGGCGGCCACTGGACACGGCCCGCGTGACTAACGTGCATTGGTGCATTGTACACACTATGCCGGGTACTAGCGTGCATGCTGCGTGCACTGGTCATGACCATCACATTCTTGCTGTGCACTGCCGACGGTTAACTGAACGCTGGGCTGCTGACTGGCGTTGTACGGGCGCTACTAGGCGTCACCCCCTGCGCTGGCTACTCGTGCGCCTCATTTGGACGCTGCCGAGGCCATTGACGCGTGATACTGCGCACTGGCATGCGTTACCCACGCTGGCGTGCATAAATGGGTGTTGGCGTGCGCACGTGCATCGCCAACAGTCACCTGTTGCGGGTACTGGCCCTACGCGGCGCTATACCGCGCATCACCTACGCACCCGCACACCCGCCGGTACGCTGCGGCCGCTATGTGCGGACAGCGCAAGTACGGCCGACCCTCGTCGGCCTCCGGCGACTTTCTCCGACAACATCAATATGTTTTCATATGTTTAAACGTAACATGACTATACATACTGATTTCACCTAAAAATTATGAACTTTACTCGATGAACTCATGTAGCGTCGAGGCGTGCGCACCGTGCGCCCGTGTTCGACGTTAAGCCAACTTCCTTGAATAAACTTGAACTTTTATCGAACAATCCCAAGAAACTGATTATAAAATACTATTTAAAGACTATTGAGACAGGGATTATTCAAATAATTCTGATCATATTAAAAGATAACACTAGAGGGCATATACTACGGCCCGTGGGCGTGCACTACGTGTGCAGCTCACTTCCTTGAGCCAAATCATGAACCAAACTTCAACTTTTCTTGACTAACATGAAATAACTGGACTTAAAATGATCTAACATGATCAAATAAACATGAATTCCTCGGTGTTATCCGAACAGAAGTAAACATCACTCGGTTATGGCCAATATGGCCTAAGATCGAACCTATCATGTCATTTCCATGAATTTCTTGAAATGAGGTGAATAATCTGAACTTAACTTGATATTACTAACATGAAAAGAGGCTGAAGATGAGGTTACCTCCTCAAGTGTTCGGAGAATTCACAAGTTATGCATGATTTCCTCGACTCCGAGTACAGGCGCTAGCCGTGCGTGTGCTTTTTGCCCTAATCTTTCTTAATTTTGGTTAAGTGATAACTTAAATAATATGCTGAACTTTCTCACCCCAACTACTGATATATAATACGTGAAATTTGGGAGGAAAATGATGAGAAAGTATCGGCCAATTGCTTTGTGCCACTTGCCGTGCGCTAAGGGTGCGAGAGTGGCACTTGGGGTGCTTAGTCATCCCTCCGAACGCTTAGTCATCCCCCGAACTCACCTTAGTTCACCATGTGTCCTTGTACGGATGATGATGAACGTGAAGATTGGGGAGCTTTGGAATTCTCGGCGATTAGTGTGCTAAGCGCGGCTTAAGGCGTGCTAAGGACGTATTTATGCACACTAATGGTCGTACAAAGCATGCTCAATGCTAAACTAAACATGATTACTCTTAAACATGATCAACCCTAAACTAATCCTCATTAATGTTAATTAATCATCATTAACATTAAGCTAATCATGATTATCTTTAAACTAATCATGTAATCATGATTAATTAGTTAAACATGGATTAAGTTAATTAAGCAAAGGTTAATGACGATTGATTAAGCATAAGCTAATGATGGACGGTGTACCAAATGTGAATGCGTCGCTGTATAGGAATGACGACGTTCATATATGGTAACCTTAACAGAACGTACTCATTTACGGTTATAACTTGACCTCGGAACATAATTTGAATATTCTTAACTTCGACGATTAATCCAAAAATTAATATTTCGAATAGTTCGTCAACTTGGCTTTTTAATTCCGAACTCATTCACTAATTAAATGAATCGGAATTAAATCTAAAAACTTATCGACTAATAGTCGAGCTTGGAATTTAACTAGCTGAATAACTTGAACTTGAACATGAACATGATTATTTATTAACAAAGGCTAGCTTTAAAATTAAAAAGCTAGTACTTTCCTTTATTAATAAAACTCGGGGTATAACAATTTTGGCCCTATTTTCAGCCTCCTCGAGTCCTCTTTGCTCTCGG